TTGCAACAAGGAACATGGTTTGAATGCCCACACTCAGCCTTGGGACTGAGAAAGGGGCACTGATTGAACTATGGACCCAGGGAAATGTCCAATGTGGGTGGAGGACACTCTGGGGCTTGTGTGTCTTACAGGAGAGGGAGGAGCTGCTGGAACAGGGACCATGGAAGGAGCTGGAAGGAAAACAAAAATAACTGTGACATACTCAGAGAGACAAGAATCCACTCAGGGGCAGGCAATAGATTAAATTCTGGATTCCTCTTTAGGGAAAGCAAGAGCCAGGGAGACACGCCTCCCCTGGGACCCAGTAACCCCATTTCTGGGAACTCAATCTAAGGAAAGAATTCAGTTGAATCCAAAACTTATCAAATGGTGACAGGGATGAACTCTCACAGGGGTGTGAGAAGTCACCAGGTATTGAGCTAAACGCTTCTGATATATTGATTTATTTCATCATCATAACAACTTGGGAAGGAGCTGATATCACACCCATTCGATAAGAAAGCACAATCTGGGACTTCTCTGGTGGTGCAGTGGTTAAGAATCTGCCTGCCAGTGCAGGGGACACGGGTTCGATCCCTGGTCCCGGAAGATCCCACATGCCATGGAGCAACTAAGCCCGTGTGCCACAACTACTGAAGCCTGTGCACCTAGAGCCCGTGCTCGGCAACAGAAGCCACGGCAATGTGAAGCCCTCCCCCAGTAAGGAAGAGTAGCCCCCACTGGACGCAACTAGAGAAAGCCTGTGTGCAGCAATGAAGACCCAACGCATCCAAATAAATAAATAATTTTTTTTAAAAAAGACGAGCTAATTCTATATAAACATTTTTTTTTTTTTTAAAGAAAAGAAAAGAAAAAAGAAAGCACAATCTCAGCAAGGTGAAGGAGCTGGTCCAGAGCCAAGATGGAATTTGAGGTTGAGTATGATTCCTAAGCTGCACCTAAGACCCTCCAGGGCAATGCTTCTCACCCTCGGCACTGTTGAGACCCAGCATCCTCTGTAGTGGTGGGGTCACCGTCCTATGTATTATATAGGATGTTGAGCATCAGCCCTGGTTCCCACTCACTAGATGCCAGCGCATTTCCTCCCTCAGTTGTGACAACCGAAACTGTCTCCAGCCATTGCCAAATGTCCCCTGGGGGCAGAATCGTCCCTGGGCCAGCGCCTTCCTATAAGCGTGGCGATGTCCTCTGTCGCCCACACACGGCCATATATAACTGAAAACACCTCAATGTCCCAAAGTAAGGTGTGTTCTGTCAATGCAATGAAATACATGTGTAGTTTCATGAACAGAAATAAAGCAGTTAAGTGAAGGAAGGATTATGGATGAGCTTTTTGTCTATGAAATGTGTTTCTTTAATGTCTTACATTATTCTCTTATAATTAACCACAAAAAGAAAAATCTCCTATGGGAATTCCCTGGCAGTCCAGTGGTTAGGACTCTGCACTTTCACTGCTGAGGGCCTGGGTTCAATCCCTGGTCTGGGAACTAATATCCCACAAGCCATGAGGCACAGCCAAAAAAAGAAAAAGGAAAGGAAAGAAAAATCTCCCTTGTGTGTGCTCCCTGCTCCTAAAATAGTCTCTGCCCTGCCTGCCCCAGAGAATTATGGTGGCCTTCTCTTAACTGAACCCCTTGTGAGCATGTGGTTTCTACTTGCCTACAAGGAATGTTCCAGTATGTTTTGGTGGAACTAAGTTTGTCAAAAGTAACAAAGAGCCAAAGTTGGAATAATTTGAGTGACAAAATAATGTCAAGTGTAAAATCAATATCCGTGAGTCCACACAGATATAAATAAATGATTGAATAAATAAATAAATGAGGGAGAAGAGACAAATCTCCCAGGCAGAAGAATCCCAAACAATTTACACAAATGTTCTGCCCTCAAGGAGGTAGAGCACGACTCCCCATCCCTTAGGTGTGGGCTGTAAATAGTGACTCCCTGCCAAAGGGCACACCACCTCCTCCAGGTGATCAAGGTCAACACCACAGTGATAAGTCACACTGACGGCGCATGCCCTGGACTCGTGTGTGATGAGAAAGGCACTTCCCCTCTGTGGTTCCTCTCTCCAAAGCCCAGTCCAACCATGAGAAAAACACCAGACAAATCCCAACTGAGGGCCCTCCTACAGAACACCTGACTCCAAACTGTCAAGTTCATCAAGACCAAGAAAGTCTGAGAAACTGTCTCAGCCCAGAGACATAAATGTCCCGTGAGGATCCTGGGGCAGAAAAGGGACATTAGCGACAAACTGAGGAGATCTGAATAATGCATGGACTTCAGCTAATAATAATGTTATCGATCAGAATTTGTTCATTAATTTTAACAAATGTACCATACAGATGTAAGAGGGTCAAAGTATGGAAAATGAGGTGTGGGGTCTATGGAATGTTTTTGTACTATCTTCGCTATATTTCTGCAAACCAAAATAAAATGATTCTTTAAAAAACAGCAAAGCTAGAATCAGCAGAACGGTGGCATAACTATTTCCATTGGGAATTTTAGAGGGAATACCCACAGACTTTCTGTTTGCAGCACTGGGACTAGAGTGAGGTGAATAAGGCACTCGCTTTGGTTGCAGAATGTAAGGGGGGCACCCAAAAATTCTATTATGATCACCCCCATTTTACAGCTATGGAAACTGAGGCTATGAGGAAATCTCTTGCCTAGGGTCCCATAGGGAGGCAGGGCTGCTCACACACTATCTTGGCCTCTACCTGAAATCATGGTCCCAAGCTGACCCTAAAGTCTTAAGGCCAGCACAGTGGGGCTCCAATAAATCAGCTTTGCCAAGGGTCGTGTCTTTGCACTTGGAGTCCTGGCCTGGAACGGAGGACCCTACTCGTGGGACACACAAGCTCCCCCTGGGCCTCCTCAGCAAGATCATCACTGATCCCTTGTCAATTTGGCTGCTGAGTGGTTTTAATGGGGGTCTTCTAGGCAGAGGGATGTCCAGCTGGGGACCTGGGCCCCTGGCCTTGGCCCCATGCACCATCATGACCCAGCTGACTGCAAACACGGCAAATGGCTGACGCAACAGAATCTGGGCTGTGGTCAGGCTGCGGCTAAAGAAGCCACAGGAGAAGCACGCAGCTGCCTTCCGGGGGTCACAGCCGGCAACTGGAAGCCTGTAATCAAGCCAATTTCCAGCAGGAAGCTCTGGCTCCCCAGGCCACATGGAGGGGAGATCAGTGTGGCCTGAGTTTCCTTGAAGCTCAATCCAGGGTCCAACCCCCTTTGGAGGCCTCTCCCCAGACGACCCCTGGGCCCTCTGGGTTCAACGTGTTCCAGATGGACATGATCATCTTTCCTCAAAATGTGCTCCTCACTCCACGGCCATGTTTCTGCATTACCCACCTCTCCTTCTGCCCTGAGCCACACAGCTGTCCACACATCCATTGAGTGCCTACTGGATGCCAAAGCATTTTACTCAAAACTCCTCACTGGCCCCTCCTGCTGAGGCTGCTCCTGTTATGGCCGCACTTTACAGATGAGGAAACTGAGGTTCTGTTAGCACAAGTCCGTGTGCCCTACGCACAGTGAGGCCAAACAAACCAAAACGTCAGAGTTTGGAGCAGAGAAAGGTTTATCGCAGGGCCATGCAAGGAGGCGGGAGGCTCGTGAACTCGGGGTTCAGAAAAACCCTGAACTCCCCGAAGGGTTTCAGCAAAACATTTTTAAAGGCCGGGTATGTGGGCGGCGGTGAGGGAGAGGTGTTGGTCACAGGGTGTGTGATCAGCTCGTGCACAGTTCTCTGATTGGCTGATGGTGAGGTAACAGGGTGGTGTCACCGGGGTTAACATGATCAATCCTTAGGCACCACTAGGCCTGGGGGCTACATGCTCATGGTCATCAAGTAGTTAACATCTTCCATTTGGTGAGGGAGGCGTTTCACATCTGTGAAAACAACTCAGGAATGAAGGCCCCACAGGGTCCTGCTCGCTTACAGTTCAGCGGGTTTACATGGAGTCCTGGGGTGGTAGGGACAGATTGTGGAGGTAGGAGCCGGTTTCTGGGTGGAGCTAGAACAAGGACCTGGTTTGTTGGCTGGGGCAGCCTCTGGTGGCCAAATAGGGGGACTGCAGCCTTAGTCTCGTGGGTCCATCCAGATCGTCTCCCCGCTCCCACAGGCTACGGTCCCTCCTCTGACACCCTCCATGGGGCACCCTATGGTCCCCTTGGCGGGGGGGAGGGGCAGGGATGCTAAGTGAACCCCTGCTAGGTCACCAGGGAGACCCCTGAATTCAAAACCCAGCCTCGGGCTTCCCTGGTGGCGCAGTGGTTGAGAGTCCGCCTGCCGATGCAGGGGGCGCGGGTTCGTGCCCCGGCCTGGGAGGATCCCACATGCCGCGGAGCAGCTGGGCCCGTGAGCCATGGCCGCTGAGCCTGTGCGTCCGGAGCCTGTGCTTCACAACGGGAGAGGCCACAACAGTGAGAGGCCCGCAAACAGCAAAAAAAAAAACAAAAAAACCCAGCCTCTTCTGTCAGACCCAGACCCTGTCCCCAGTCCACTAGTCACCTCTCAGCCTCAGTTTCCCCAGCTGGGGACTTGGGAACCAAAAATGCCCTCAGCCTCTTCAGGTCGTGGTACAGATGAACACAAAGCTGGCATGCACTAGGCACTCAGGAACTGCAGTTGTCACTGCAGGAGAACGGCGGGGACTTGAGATGGGGTGTCCGCAGGTAGCCCCAGCTCCCCTCCCACAGGATCTCACTGGCCAGCAAACAACCCAGAAAGTCCCGAGGTCATAATTAGGCAGAAACAACCCACCTCTTTTTCTGGGAAAGGGAAAAAGGAAACCGAAACAGAAAGCCTGAGCTCTGCTCTGCCTTTAGATGTCCCCATTCAAGTATCTCCAAGTCAGAGGATCCTCCTGGAACTTGTCATTGGTCAGCACAGCTCCTACGGTTATTAAGGGGTAGCCCCAGCCCAGAGGAGGTTCCGGCGCCCTCCCCTAACTCCCGTCCAGACTCCCTACGGGCAGATCTGGAGGGCACCTACTTTTTATCACTACAACCCTGTGCCCATGGTTGACCACTTGAGTGAGTCGGGGCTGTGTTGCTGCAAGCTGCCACGGTGCCTGTGCTTCCTGCTGCTACTGGTGATTCTGATGGTTCTACTTGTAGCCCTGCTCATCTTTGATGTCAGGGCCAACAGCAAGCACTGCATGGATGGCCTCCAAGCAGAGCGGGAGTGTCAGAACCGCACTCGGTACGTGCAGCACCAGCTAACCCAGGCCCAGGAAGTCTTACACAAGATGGAGGTCCAGGCCGCCGCCTGCAACCAGACGGTGGTAAGCCACTGCACCCCCTAGAGAGGGCCCTGTACTTGTGGGCGGTTCTTACAGGGTCTACGTGGAGATCAAGGTAGACCTTAAAACTCCCCCCTGGATGTCCCCACCAGGCTTTGGAGACCTCTAAACTCTCTCCAGGGTGCTAGTGTGGGGTGGGGCCTTAAAACTCCCCAGAGCACCCAAATCAGGGGCCTCGGTATCCCTGCTAGGATATGGGGGAATCTCCAGACTCCAGGGCACTGGTGTGTGGGAGCTAGAAACTCTCCTCGGGCCCCAGTCTTGGGGGATCAGAAGTCCCCTCTAGGGGCTGGGATCAGGACCTCACCAGGTCCCAAGGAAAGAAGAGGCTCTTGAAACTTCCACTGCATCCTGAGAGACTTCGGAATTTTCATCTGTGTCCTGATGTGGGGGGGCCTTGAAACTCCCACTGGTCCTGCACTTGGACTCTGAAATCCCCGCCCCGTGTTCTGGTTTTGGGAGGACCTCGCAATCTTCTTGGGCAATAGCCCCGGGGGATGTGGAAACTTCTAGAGTTTGGGCATGGGGAGCTTCCAAATTCTCTTGGGGAGGGCCTCAAAACTCCCATTTCGAGGATCACACCCTTCTCGGTGGCCCTGGGAGGGTGGGAGGTTGTGGCCACTCTTCAAGGTGGGAGACTGAGGTGCAGGGGACGGTCGGAGTGGAAACTGAAGGGGGTTTGGACCCAAGCTCCTCTGATCCCAGGGCTTAAGTGGGGGTCCAGGGCCCAAGGACAGAACTCCAGTTTCCCACACCCCACCCCCACCCCCGCGTCGCAGGTGACCCTGAGGGATTCTCTGAAGGTGGAGCAGGCACAGGTGGCGGAGCTTCAAGGTGAGAAAAGCACAAGGCCAGCGTTCCACGGACGGGGCTCGGAGGGATGGGCCAGTTATTGAAAAGGACTAAGGAGGGAGGGTCCCAGGGTTGGGGTCGGGAGGGAGGGATGGGGCCAGATTCCATTTGCAGTAGGGGAAGGGGGAGCACGCCAGGTTTCCCAGCGTGGGTTGAATGAAGGCGGGGCTAGAGGCGGGGACTTGTCCCGGGTTGGAGCCAGGTGAGTGGGCGTGGTCAGTGTGTTGACTCGCCCTTTGATTCTGTACCCGACCCCACCAGGAGAGGTCAAGATTTTGAAGCAGAAGCTGGAGGACACTTTGGCGGAGGTGCAGCGACTAAGGTCCGAGACGACCCCACCCCCACGGCCACTCCCCTTTCACTCCACCCCGAAGACTCGCGACCCCCTTGGCTTCGAAAAACCCCGTTGCTCAGGGGGCAAAGTTTAAGTCCCAGCCTTGTCCCTTGTGTCACACAGCCATGGGGTGGCCGCTGCCAGCTATCCTCCCCAGTGACTTGGTGGGGGAGGAGTGGAGATTCTTAGGGGCGCAGCCTCCAGCTGCTGGAGCCGGCCTGGCAGCTGCCTGAGTTGTCCCCATCTCTACTCCAGAAGAGGGAGTGAGGCCTCAGCTGAGAACAACTCTTCTAGCTGTTCGAGCGTCCTGTTCGCTGTGGTCGTGGTCTTGGTCCTCGAGGCCCTGCTGATCTGAGGTACCAGAAAGCCGGCCGGTAAGGAGGGGGCAGCTCCGGGGAAAAGAAAGCTGGGAAAGGACAGGAGTTGGGGATGGGTCACGGTCTGGGGAGGTGGCCTACCTGCGGAGCAGAGGGCTGGGCACCGAGGATAAGAATCTTGGAGAGGGAAGGAGAGCCCAGTGAGCAGGGAGGGGATGGGGGGGGCTGTCCCGGAGCGGGGCAGGGCTTGGGGGGGCGGAGCCCGTGTTGTGTCTGCCTCTGAGTCCCTGTTTTGATGTCTTTTAGGCCACAACCTGGACTGGTCCGGTTCCCTCTCTGCTACCCCCTTTGAGGCTTCCTGACCTGGCCCGTTCTGAGGGGACCACATGGCAACACGGTTGTGGGGAGGGAGGGGGGATGGGGTAGCCTAAGGGGTCCATGGGGCAGCTCTGGAGGGACACCTTGGGCATGGAAAAGTAGCGGAGTTGGCCCAAGGCTGCCCTAGAGCTGAGGAGGGCATGGGGTGGAAGGTGGGGCACCTGCTTCTTGCTGACACGGTTTCTAGAAAGTCACTTTCTTCTGGGGTCTTTGGGTTCCAAAAAAGTAAACACCCCTCTAGTGGGGGAAAACTTTACTCTCAAGTTTTTGGAGTGTTATTGTGTCACCCCCAAGCACCTGGGGGCTGCCCTGCGGACCAGGGTGGACACCCATTGACATCCACATCCAGCTTTCCCTGCTCTAGAATGTTCTCAGGAATCCCTGCGGTTCTGGCAGTGACCACCCCACTGCCTCCCCAGCCCTCTTGTCCATTTGGATCGTCTTAAAGAATTCTACACCCTCATCAGCTTGCCTGCAGTGTTCTGCTCTCATCTCCTCGCCGGGATCTTCTGATGGCAGTGGTCCCGAGAGGAAACCGAGGCTGTGGTGACGGACACTTTGTCCTGGTTCCCAATCCCTTCCCACAGAAAGTGCAGGGCTGGGATCAAACCTGGATCTGCAGACACACACAGGCCTGTGTCACAATGCCCCCTCCTCCAGAGAGCCTCTCTGCTTCTCAAAATCGAAGGCTACTGGGAGTCCCCTTGTGGCCTAGTGGTTAGGATTTTGAGCTTTCACTGCCGTGGCCCAGGTTCAATCCTTGGTTGGGGAACTGAGATCCCGCAAGATGCGTGGCACGGCCAAAAAAAAAAAAAAAAAAAAAAAAAAAAAAAAAAAAAAAAAAAAAAAAAAAAAAAAAAAAAAAAAAAAAAAAAAAAAAAAAAAAAAAAATTGGAAGGTGTTCAAGATTGAAGCCTACCATCTGATAAACCCTTCAACCCACTTTCTTGGATCCTCCCATGGACCATAATTCCTTCCTCCTCTGTTATCTTCCTTCCTCCAAGTTCCCCTGGAATCCTGACTATTGTCCGGGCAACTTCTTGTGCGTGGCTGGGGGTGGGGGCAGGTCCCTTGCATCTGCCCAGAATTCCCAGAATTCTGCACTGTCCTCACCATGGTCCCGAGCCCAGATGGTCGTGCCCCCCCTCCATGGCTCCCACTGCCCTCCCAGGGCCCCCCCGCCCCGGCCCCCGCCCCCAGCCCCTAACTTCTTCTTGCTCCACCCCCTGTGACCATTTCTCTGCATTTTGATTTGTCAAGTTCCTTCCTGCCTCATGGCCTCAGCTAGTCTCTACCTCCTGCTTGGAGCACCAGCTCCCCACTCTGAAGTTCTAGAACAGGGTTTCTCGGCCTCCAAACTCTTGACATTTGGACTGGACCATTCTCTGCTGTGGGGCCTGCCCTGTGCACTGTAGCATGTTGAGCAGCATCCCTGGCTTCCACCCACTAGAGGCCCATAGCACCTTACCCCATGGTTGTGACAACAAAAAAAATGCCCCTAGATATTACCAAGTTTCCCCTGGGGGGCAGAATCAATTCCGGTGAGAACCTCGGCTCTAGAAGGTGAGGCTTGGGTCCCCTTCAGTTCTGTGAGAGTCCCCAGCTCACAGGGGGACTCAGCAGGCGCTCCCATGGAGTCCCTTTACAATGACTGAGTCATTTCACCACCACCCCCATCGGCAGCCCCATCTAACAGATGAGGAAACTGAGGTCCAGAGGAGTGACTGGACTCGCTCAGGGTTTCTCAGCTGCTCAGGCAATGGAACCCTCTGCTTCCAGCAGGTTCTCTTGATTGCCGGGAAGCAAACCTTTCTCACATGACCTCAGTCCTTTCCCATCCCCACTCAACATCCTTTCCCCCAGCTCCCAGCTTGGGCTACTGGAAAGTCCCAAAACAGCTCCGCCTCCCACCCCCACCATACCTGGGCTGTGTTTCGCTGATGGAGGGGGCAGGTTTGCCCCAATATTATGGGTTTGACCTGCTCAATTTCTTCCCCTAAATTCCCACCCAATGGCCAGGGTATAAACGTCTCTCTTTCCTAAAAGTGCCCCCCTTCCCTGACTGGCTGTGGGATTCCAG